TTTTTCTTTTTACTTCTAAATTTCATGCATGAAATTCCACACTTTTTAACGTAATATATAGGCTACTCAGGCTAAACACAACCAAGAAATGCACTTTTAGTTGAAAAATAAAGCTAGGAATATTGTATTGCAGGGATTCATCTTCTTGGTTCTTTCGGTAAAGTCACGTAGAAAGAAATAATCTTTCTGACAGACCTGTTCTTCACCTGACGGCTGCTTGCGTTGTGGCCGAAACGTAATAAGAATAATTTATTTTTATTTTTATTATTTTATTATTTCCATTCTACGTGACTTTACCGAAAGAACCAAGAAGACTAGGAAAATTGGACCAATTTTTCCAAAATACGGCCTAGGTTAGTATGGCGATTTTATTTTTATGGACGTGAAAATGTCATCGTGAAATGTCGCCAGCGGTGTGCTGGAGAGCCAAGCAACGACATGTACAAAGTGCTGCTCATAGCGAGCAGCACCGATGGAGGTCGTCACGGCACACGAGGGGGTGGGTGGCCAGCACCACGCCCGGCCGCCTTTGTCTCCCTAGTGGCGATGTTGACACACCGCACCGGGTACTCATTTGAGGCTAAGTCGAAACTCGCTCCCTTTATGTCAACAAACTTGAACTCTGACCCCGCTCTCTGACGTCACCGCTCAGCGTGACCTCATCGGCGTCAAACGCCAGGGGGAGGTGTTCCTCGCTAGTGACGTCATGTCACCCACCCCCGACCACCGCGCTCTTGAGCGTGACGTCACCGCTCGGCCGCTGCCGATATCTGTCCCAGTGCCAATCCTTATTTGGGCAAAGCCACGCCCTGTAACTGGCGGCTCATTAACATAATGTGTCGTGAAAGTCGTCGCGAGTTGAGAGCCGCTCATTGGGGGAGGGGAGTGTCATCGTACCCCGCAAGTGACGTCATGTCGCCTGCTGCCGCGTGACGTCGCGAGGGACCAGGAAGTTGCCGCTTCGCCCGTGAACTGAAATCCGAGGTGAGAAATCCTCATCGCTGTTGTGGTGCTTGTGGTTGTTGTGGTTGTTGTTGTTGTTTATTGAGGTAGAGCCTCGCTCTCTCTCTCGTAGGGATGTTATTTGAGTAGCAGCGAGCATGGAAGCGATGTCCAGGTTGGAACTTATCAACTTGGGGCCTTGCCTCCTGCCCTCGCCTGATCGCGTTTGCTTCAATTATCTCGCTTAAGTTGAATTTGTCTTGACCCGGCTCGCCACTTTGTAACTTAGTTTTACTTTATATATTCTCAGTTTTTCTTTTCTTTTTTTTTACCAGGCCAAGCCCGCTTGAGCTGCTATACCGCTCTTGTTTTCAGAAGTGACCTGCCCACGACAACAACAAGGTGAGGCTCGTCAACAGCGTGGTGGTGTTCACTCTGGACGCGTGGTGGTGTTCACTCTAGACACGTGGTGGTGTTCACTCTGGACGCGTGGTGGTGTTCACTCTATACACGTGGCGGTGTTCACTCTAGACACGTGGTGGTGTTCACTCTATACACGTGGTGGTGTTCACTCTAGACACGTGGTGGTGTTCACTCTAGACACGTGGTGGTGTTCACTCTAGACGCGTGGCGGTGTTCACTTTAGACGCGTGGCGGTGTTCACTCTAGACGCGTGGCGGTGTTCACTCTAGACGCGTGGCGGTGTTCACTCTAGACGCGTGGTGGTGTTCACTCTAGACACGTGGTGGTGTTCACTCTAGACACGTGGTGGTGTTCACTCTAGACGCGTGGCGGTGTTCACTTTAGACGCGTGGCGGTGTTCACTATAGACGCGTGGCGGTGTTCACTCTAGACGCGTGGCGGTGTTCACTCTGGACGCGTGGCGGTGTTCACTCTAGACGCGTGGTGGTGTTCACTCTAGACGCGTGGCGGTGTTCACTCTGGACGCGTGGCGGTGTTCACTCTAGACGCGTGGTGGTGTTCACTCTAGACGCGTGGCGGTGTTCACTCTGGACGCGTGGTGGTGTTCACTCTAGACGCGTGGTGGTGTTCACTCTAGACGCGTGGCGGTGTTCACTCTGGACGCGTGGCGGTGTTCACTCTAGACGCGTGGCGGTGTTCACTCTAGACGCGTGGCGGTGTTCACTCTGGACGCTTGGCGGTGTTCACTCTAGACGCGTGGTGGTGTTCATTCTAGACGCGTGGCGGTGTTCACTCTCGACGCGTGGTGGTGTTCGCTCTCTGCATGTGGAGTGGGGACAACCGGGAGATCCGGAGGGAAATCCACACGACCACGGGGAGAGAGAGAGAGAGAGACACGTAAGCTCCAAATATACAGCAGGCGTCAGGGTTGGGATCGAACCCACGACTTCCTGTATGCCAGGACAGGTAGTTAACATCTCACCACAGAGAGAGAGACATGCAGCCTCGGCTGTGTTGGTTGATCCTCAATGAATTACTTGGTGGAGTGAGGAAGCATTCATACTGAGCGGATGAAGGTAGCCAGGCATGGGTCTGGACACGCCACCACCTGTGAACCATGTCACTGAAAAACCCTGAAAATTTGATTCTTGTAAGAAAGAAAAAGCTGAAAGAAATCAATTTAACTAAATCGGATGTTTTTCACTGAAGGAAATTTAACCTTAACCCACTTCTACGTAATGTCGATTTTGGCAACTCGGAAAGGGAATGACGTGGCAAGCTGAAAATAGTCGTGTTCACTTATAAATTCCAGACAACATAAGCTGTGAAAATTTCATGACGCCAGAGCTCGGCGTTGGAGAGTTTTTACTGCTTCACACAAACAAACATGTAATTTCTGCTTTATATTTAAGATAGCAGTTGTACCTGTTCTTCACACGGATATGTATTGAAACTCCGAGAAGCCAATGGCTTCATCGGCCAGGAGCGAAGCGCCTCCTAAAATCTCCCGGCACGCTGTTAACAGCTTTAGAAGTACGGCGCACGAAGAGCCATATGGTAGGGGTAAGCGTTGCAGAGCGCTTAACTCAGGTGTGTTGCGGGTTGACGCCACACACTCCATGGTCATTTCTCCCCCCCCCCCCCTCCCAAAATACAAGTCTATTTTTTATAGTTTTTACATTGTGTACAGTATGGAACCTACCGACATGCCAAATTTCAAGTGTGTTGCATGTTGGGAAGTATGCTAAACATTTCGAACAGACACACGTATCCACACATTTCCCTTTTATATATAGACTAGCTTTACTACCCGGCTTCGCCCGTGACTTGGATTCTTGTCTTGGATTAAAACAGTGCTTACGTGGAGTGTTTGGGGGGGGAGGGTGACGTCAGCAAGCACACTGCGTAACGCTGCCGCATGCGGGTGTGACATCACAGATGTGATGACAGATGTGATGTCACCGCTCACTTGCGTGCAAAATAAATGCATTACAGTGATCCCTCGTTTATCGCGGTTAATGGGGACCGGAACCCCTCGTGATTGGTGAAAATCCGCGAAGTAGGATTGGCCCCCCCTAGGAATTTCCGTATATGTGTGTGTGGGTACCAGAATGTTTAAAATATGTATATTTATACTTTATATATATATTTTACTTAAATCTATTTAATTATAAAACCTTAATATTATACATTCACTCTCTCTCTCATACGATACGTATTATGGTGTTCTACACTCACCAGTTAATTTCGAACACAACACTAAGATACGCGAGACACAGTTGACAGCGTGAACGAGAGTGGCGAGATACAACAAGGGAAGAAGCTGGGAGAGGATGCGATGATGCGCAGCCAATCAGCTCACGGGATACTGTACATCCACTCGTGCTCTCATTCGTCGCTCTCGCGCCGGGAACCAATCACGTGCCTTGTCTGAGTGCCCGTGGGTATGTACAAAGCCTCTGAGAGAGTTTCTCTATTTGTCTGGCATCCTGGGAAACCGTTTCTCTCGGGCATCACGATGAAACAACACTGCTTTCCGCAATACGGCTGCCGATATGGCGGTATTTTTTAATTTAAATTTTTCAATGAATATTTTTGAAAAATCCGCGATGCACTGAGGCCGCGAAACTTGAACCGTGAAGTGGCGAGGGATTACTGTTTTGCGCCCCCGCCCCTCCCCAAAATACAAAAGTCTATTTTTATACTTTTAGCATTGTGTACAGTCTGGAAGCTAACCACATGCCAAATTTCAAGTTTGTTGCATGTCGGGAAGTATGCTAAACATTTCGAACAGACATTCACAAACTTCCCTTTTTTATATATAGATAAATCAGCATTTTGCGACCGCCACCGTGTGGAATATTATTATGTGCCAGGGACTCTTGAGAGGACAACGGTCCAAGTCCATAATTTGCAATAAGTAACAGCAAAGCAGTTACAAGCGACTCGCAGAATTGTGCGCAGTTGCGTATACAGTACACGGCTTCCCTGAAGGCAAACACCTTCAGCGAGCGCGATGCCGATCACACGCGTCGAATAAAAAGCAAGGGACAAGTCCTTACTAATAACTCTTTACTAACAACGCCTTACTAACAACTATCATTATTTCTAGATTTGAAGCTTTCGTGACTGCAAGGATTCATACTCTTAGGTTTTTTCGGTAAAGTCACGTAGGTAAAAGATTAAGTAAAATAATAATAAATGAAAATAAATCAATTAAAATCACGACGCTTCGGAGGCAACACAAGCCTCCTTCATCAGGTGTCAAAAGGCACAGCAAAATAACTGTAGTGGGAGTTATTTGTAATGGGGCATTTAATATATAGGGTAAGAGGAGGGGGGAGGAGCCAAGGGGGACGGGTGCAGGATGGGGGGGGTTGCAGTGTGGGTGGAGCCAGGAATGTGAAAATAGTAAAACGTTGTAGGAAGGTGAATATAGTAAAACGGCATCTAAATAGTCATTGGAGGGAGGATGAAGTGTAGGATGGGGGAGGGGGGGGGTTAGGATGTGGGTGGAGCCAGGAAGGTGAAGGTGGAACTATAAGACGGCGTCACGGATGGTGGAGGAGGGACGCAGAGCGGGGGGGAGTGGCGATTTAAGTTTAACATGGTTAATCGCATCTTTCCAATGATTGCTCAATTTGAATCCATCTTCTCGGGTGAAGTTATGTCTGTGTTTGTATATCTGTATGGCTTCATGGACAAATCTTTGGTGGTATCAAGCCGGCTTGCAGAGTACCTTCGTATCGGAGAAAACGATATCATGATCACCCACAGCGTTGTAACAATGATTGGCAACGGCTGAAGAATTTGTTCTGCCATATTCTTAGGTTTTTTCGGTAAAGTCACGTAGGTAAAAAATTAAAATAAAAAAATGTAAAATTAAATAAAAAATTAAATAAAAATCACGACGTTTCGGAGGCAACACAAGCTTCCGTCTTCAGGTGGAACCGTCACAACCCGACAGTTGTATCAAGTAAATGAGAGATTAGAAGAGATTCCACTCCGTATATATAATGGTTGAGGGGGGGGGGAAGGGCCAGGAATGGCCCACTTTTTATTATTATGGTAAGGTGCGGCTTGAGACTATGAATAGACTGCATAACAAAAGACTGAGCCTTTATTATGGAGAGGTTCGGGTTGTGACTACACCTAGCCTACATAACAAAAGTGTGAAAAAAGAAAGCTAAACCTGGTAGAAAGCTAAACCTGGTTTTGTTTTACCAGGTTTAGCTCTTGTAATCTCTCATTTACTTGATACAGCTGTCGGGCTGTGACGGTTCCACCTGAAGACGGAAGCTTGTGTTGCCTCCGAAACGTCGTGATTTTTATTTTATTTTTATTTTATTTTACATTTATTAATTTTAATTTTTTACCTACGTGACTTTACCGAAAAAACCTAAGAATATGAATCCTTGCAGTCACGAACGTTGCAAATCTAGAATTGTTCTGCCATGTTTCAAATCTGATTTGTGTTCGCGAATTTGGTCTGAAATATGTCGTTTCGTCTCCCCGATTATAGCAGTCCCCGCAGGTACAACTCAATTTGTAAACACCGGGGTACTGTAAGTCCGGAATGACATCCTTTACGGATGGGATCAGATCCCGGATTTTATGTACTGTACTGAATCGGACTTGGATCTTATGTTTGTTTAGAATTTTGGAGATCTGTTTGGTCACGCCTGCTATGTATGGCAATGTGATAGTTTTGATCGGAGTTTCAAGTGGTTGTTTCTGTATGGTGGGAGAAACAGCTTGGCGGATAGTGCGGTCAGAGTATCCGTTCATCTTGAGGGCCAAATGTACATGTTTCAGTTCACTGGCCAGGTGGTGTTGGTCAGAGATGCAATGAGCTCTCTGGTATAGTGTTTTGATGAGAGAATTCTTTTGAGCCGGATGGTGGTGGGAATCAGGTTTCAAGTAGGAATCTGTATGGGTGGCCTTCCTGTAAACACAATGTCCCAAAGATCCATCAGGTCTCCTCTCAAACAACATCCAAGAATGGTAGTCTGCCATCTTTCTCCACTTCCATGGTGAATTTGATGGATGGGTGTCTGGAATTGATGTGGTCCAGGAAATGGTTCAATGCTGGGAGGCCACGTGGCCAAAGGACGTAGGGTGGACGTCTGGATGGCGTCTGATTCAAACTTTTCCATGAACACATTGGCTATCACTGGTGACAAGGGGGAGCCCATGGGGGTACCCTCATTCTGTTTGTAGAAGGTGCCATTCCAGGTAAAGTAAGTGTTGGTGAGGCAATGCCTAACCAGCGCAGGTACATCCGAGTTCAGTCCATGTTGGACCAAGTCTTCGATTATTGTTAAGGTGTCAGGAACTGGGACTTTGGTAAACAGATATACCACATCAAAACTGACGAGGATATCGTCAGGAGACAGTACCATGTCCTTGACCATAGAGACCAATTGGGTTGAGTTAAGTACTGCTGACGAGGTCTTGCCAGTGAAGGGGAGCAGAGTATCTGATAGAAAACGGGCCAGTTTGTATGTAGGAGAGTTGATTATGGACACTATGGGTCGTAGTGGGGAGCCTTCTTTCTGGATCTTGGGAAGACCATAGAATCTGGGAGGTCTTGCAGCCGAGGGTTTTAAGGAGGGACGTTTGGTTGGTTCGATTAGGGACGTCGAACTCGTGATGATCTTGTTGGTCTTTGTTGTTAGGCTGTTAGTCGGATCCTACTGATGATCTTGTTGGTCTTTGTTGTTAGGCTGTTAGTAGGATCCTACTAACAGCCTAACGACAAAAACCAACAAGATAGAACCAACGTCTTTTACAAGGATTCATGTCTGCATTTACCACAATACTTGCAGTGAAATGCGAACAAAACACACTATGATAATATATGCATTAAATTTGATTTAAAGCTTTTGTGACTGCAGGGATTCATCTTCTTGAAACTGATTGGTCCACACCAAGGGACGGCTTTTTTTGAGCCTCGACCCAATTGGTGCTCGACCAGAGGACACCAATTGGTGCTCGACCAGAGGACGCCAAAAGGCATACTGCTCACACATATTATCATAGTGTGTTTTTGTTTGCATTTGACTGCAAGTATTGTGGTTAATGCAAATGTAGTGCCATGGATGGGCTGCACTTGCAGGCAACGACAGACATCCCAGAAGCGGTTGGGGGTTGTGAGGGGTCCTACGATCCCTCGCAAACACTCCCAACGGCCCGGGGGGCTACGGACGTACTGGCCTGCAACCGGCAGACATGCAGACCTCGGTGAGGGACTCTGGGGTCACCCACGTCTCTCACGGAGGTCCGCACCTCGGCTGAGAAACGTATATAAGGTGGACCTCTGGAGAGGTCCTGGCAGTTGAAGACGACCAGTTGAAGCAATAAGACCTGCTAGAATAGGACCCTGGACCCCTAGCTTCGCCGTCTTTTTAAGGGCCAAAGCTCTGTGAGGCCAGTGGTGGACCCTGGGTCTCCCATAGGATATTATAGCCAGAGCACCTGGAGCGCAGCCGGGGCAGGCATGTTACGTAGGAGGCGTATAATATACCGAGTGTAAGTACTCGAGATAAACTGTACGAGGAGTTGATGTTTAGTAGTTAGGGCGCGTGTGTATAATAAAGACGTGCCCCTAACAAAGTGTCTCCGGAGAAAACACGACACAGACATGAATCCTCATAAGGTTTCAGTTTTGTTGCCAGAAAAAAGGGGAAAACTCCTATTATTAACTCCTATCATTTTTCATTGCTGGAGGGTTTGCCCCCCTCCCGACCTTAAAATACTGGCTCCGCCCCTGAGTGTGTGACAGTTTCAAGTTTGTATTTGCAGTAAAGTCTATTAATTCTATTGAGCACGGAGGTTATATCAAAACGGTAGTTTATTTTTGTTTTCCTCTGGAAGTCTTTTTAAGATTGGAGTCAGGAAGTTATCACAGCACATGTGCAGCTGAAGTCGGAACTTCATCCCAGCATTCAAGGACATCTGTGCCTGGCTTCACACCTCTTAGTTGCGATTGAACATTAATTTATGCATTTGTGCATAACACAAATAGTATTATTTTCAACATCCTTTGCTATGTCAGCTGAATTTAGCTTTCATAAATATTCCTTTTGTAGCCAGACAGCCGAAATTGTGTGCTCGGAGTTTTGGGTTAACATTCATTTTGAAGATACTAGGGCTTCCAGGCATGTTTATAACCATTTGCCCTCTCATTGTGTGCGATAACAGCCCGTGTGATAAATTTGGGACACTTTTTCACTATATCATGAATATATGCATAAGTATAGACGTGTAAGTCACGTGTGACTGTATATATGCATTGATACTGATGTGTAGATGTTGTGGATATATTTTTCTGTCTGCAGCTGTCGCTTCCTCTGCAGAATTGGTCTGATGGAGCAAAGGCACTCGGCGCGGCTCGGTGCAAAAAGGCAACAATGCGACCTGCGTGCCAACAGCACAGATCGTACTGAACATTTGACACAGCACCAGAGAACTCACACAGCAGAGAAACCCGTCAAGTGCAGTGTGTGTGGGAAAACGCTTGCACAGTCATCTACTCTTGTAAAACACCAGAGAACACACACGGGAGAGAAACCCTTCAAGTGCAGTGTGTGTGGGAAGGCATTTTCACAGTTAGCTACTCTTGTAGCACACCAGAGAACACACACGGGAGAGAAACCCTTCAAGTGCAGTGTGTGTGGGAAGGCATTTTCACAGTCAACTAATCTTGTAGCACACCAGAGAATACACACGGGAGAGAAACCTTTCAGGTGCAGTGTGTGTGGGAAGGCGTTTGCACAGTCATCTACTCTTAACAAACACCAGACAACACACACGGGAGAGAAACCCTTCAAGTGCAGTGTGTGTGGGAAGGCGTTTTCACATTCAGCTAATCTTGTACCACACCAGAGAACACACACGGGAGAGAAACCCTTCAGCTGCACTCTGTGCGGGAAGTCGTTTGCACTTTCACCAAATCTTCAAAGACACCAGAGAACACACAAGCATCAGAAGATCCACAAGGAGTGGAGTCTGAAATCAGCTTGTGAAAGTCAAAGTGCCGCAATGAGCCCATCCCTCATCAAACAAGAACCAGAAGAAAATCCCAGCTTGGACACTTTTAAAGGTATCGAGGTGAAATGTGAAGAAGTGATGGTGAAGAGTGAAGAAGTGATTGTGAAGAGTGAAGAAGTGAAGGTAAAATGTGAAGATAAAGATACAACTCCAAAATCGGACCTTCACATCGATGGAGGCAACGTGAAGCAGGAGGAGACTTCTGACTGCGCGGCAGAGCGAGGCAACTCCCAGCAGTTTGTGGAAGTGGAGGTGTGGGTGGACTTCCTCCGAGACAATACAAAGTCAAATGGAGACCCGGGAGATGTGTAAGCTTGAGACGATGTTGCTCCAATAGATGCACCTTTTGTCACAGACCTTTAATGACAAGAAATAAGTTGAACACTCAATTCCTAGGTTCAACTTGCAGGGTAAGAGCGGCCAGTCTTTATGGACCTGTGGGTTGGGTAGATCTCTAACCAGGAGCGAGAGCCAATAAGCTCCCAAGCATTCACTTTGTTCTAATAATTCATTTACTAGCAGTCGCCGCCCGCTTCGCGGGCGGTGTGTATATGCTTGGTTGGTGGGGAGTTGAAAGTGGCTGGACACAATAGACATGTTTTGGTGATTGTTTTATGTTTTTAGATTTGAAGCTTTCGTGACTGCAAGGATTCATATTCTTAGGTTTTTTTGGTAAAGTCACGTAGGTAAAACATTAAAATTAATAAAAGTAAAATAAAATAAAAATCACGACGTTTCGGAGGCAACACAAGCTTCCGTCTTCAGGTGGAACCGTCACAGCCACGACAGCTGTATCAAGTAAATGAGAGATTGCAAGAGCTACCACTCCGTATATATAATGGTTGGAGAGGGGGGAAGGGCCAAGTTCAGCACACTTTTTATTCATATGGTAAGGTGAGGATTAAGAGGGTGAGCCTTTGTTATGGAGAGGTACGGTTTGTGACTAAGCCTGGCCTACATAACAATAGTGTGAAAAAAGAAACAACTAAACATGGTAAAACAAGCCTGGCTGTCTATCAATAACCTGTAATAGTTGTCTGTCAAATAAGACAAACATAAGATCCAAGTCCGATTCAGTACAGTGCATAAAATCCGTGATCTGATTTCATCTCTGAAGGATGTCGTTCCTGACTTACAGTATCCTGGAGTCTACAAATTGAGTTGCATTTGTGGTGATTGATACATTGGAGAAACGAAACGTCATGTTTCTGATCGTGTCCGCGAGCACAAGTCCGATCTGAAACACGGCAGAACTGATTCTTCGGCCGATGCCGATCATTGCTACAACTCTGTGGGCTCTCATGAAATTGTATTTTCCGAGACCAAGGTTCTCTGCAAACCTGGCTACCATCAAAGGTTTGTACACGAAGCCATACAAATTACAAACTGAGTAATCATTGGAAAGATGTGATTAACCATGCAAAAAAGATTTAACTACACTTATTTGCCAATCTTATTTGACTGACAACCATCACAGTTTTTACCATGTTTAGTGGTGTCTCCCTGTTACAGGTTGTGTTACAAACCGCACCTCTCCATAACAAAGGCTCAGCCTGTGCTACTACTCGGTGGGCTCAACCATTATTATGCAGTCTATTCTTAGTCTTAAGCCTCACCTTACCATATTAATAAAAGTATGCGGCCCTTGCCCCACCACCATCTTCAACCATTATATAAATGGAGTGGTAGCTCCTACAATCTCTCATTTACTTGATACAGACGTCGTGGCTGTGACGGTACCACCTGAAGACGGAAGCTTGTGTTGCCTCCGAAACGTCGTGATTTTTATTTTATTTTACTTTTTAATGTTTTTACCTACGTGACTTTACCGAAAAAACCTAAGAATACAGTTATGATTAAACAAAGTAAACATTAGTCGCTCATCCCAGCTTAGACATGATCATTGCAATTATTTACAAATCCGTGTCGGGTCCCACGAGAACAGGGCACGTCAACAAACTCTCAAATTGTAAACTCACATTGCATACTCTAACATTATAAACTCTAACAATATAACCTTTAAACTATGAGCTATGCATTGTAATGCTTTAAAATAACACTACAAACTAGTGTTATAGTAACCTATAATGTTGTGAACTCTAACAATATAAGCTATAAGCGATACATTTTAACGCTATAAAATAACATCATAAACTAGTGTTACAGATTAGAACACCGTACATTGAAGTGTGATATTCGAATTCGAATTCTTAGCTTCACACCGTGGTTCTCAAGGGAATCACACTTGGTTCGTCAATATGTAAACATGTTTGTATGTAACATGTATGCATGTAACATGTATGTATGTAATATGGACGTGCGAACCAATGGTGGGATATGTGAAACGGAAGGTGCAGGATCAGGATGGGATTAAAATTATTTGAATAACACATTGGCAGTATTAGGATCAAGCTGCCCACTATTGGTTGAATGTTCCATCTCAATGGGCATCAAATAGCAATATTCAGTATGAATATATAAATTAATCGCACAAACCCAATATTAGCCCGTGAAATAATGAATCGTTAAAATTGTAATGACTCCGGACTCAGACTGCAGAGGGTTCTTTTATTTAGCATTTAACCTCGTTACTCCCGCCTCTCCCATTCTCGGCGGAATGATACTTTAACGCGTTGGTATTCCTGGAACTGATATGGTTTGCATTGTACTGTAACTGTTTGAACATAGGCCATATTAAACATTAGGTTTTTAACAAATGTTTGTCCCTCATTTATTTTACAATGTTCAAGCAAAAACATGTTCAGAAAATTTCAGGTGGAAGATCTCCGTCACACAACTGGCAGCATCTTGTTACAAATGTTATCGCAGTAAACAATTCGGACCACAGCAGGACACTCAATCTCGAGCATCTGCGAAGCAACGATATTAGGGCTAAGACCTGCAAGTTTATTCGAGTGTTGACGTTATTTTAGCAATATACTTAAAGACACTGTATATGATAAGAATTCGTCAACATAGCAGGTGTCTTGTTCTCCGTAATCAACCAATATTATGACAAATTACGTCAACAATGAGTCAGCTAATTCTTCGGTAGTATTCGCTACACACCGATTGCACTAACCTACACTAAGTTATGTTTAAACAAAGTAAACTTTAGTCGCTCAAATGTCAGCTTAATTAGGATCATCTCAATTATTTCCATAGACGTGTGGGGTTCCACGAGAGCAGAGTCGGCGTGCAAACAGCCGGGCGGCAGTTGGAGCAGAAGCAGAAGTCGCTGCTTTGCCATCGAACGGTTTCGTAGCTGCTGTAGTTGCTTCTGTTACTGTTATATACGCAGCATGTTGGTGTCCCGTAAGAGGCTTATATACTCTTACACTGTTAACTCTCACACTGTGAACGTTAACAATTTGAACTCCAACAATATAATTTATAAACATTAACATATACATTTGAAGAATATACAAATTACCGTAAACAAATGTTAAAGTAAACTCTAAATGTGTGAACTCTAACAATATAACTTTTGAGCTATACATTACAACGCTATAAAAGAACATTATTAACTAGTGTTGTAGATTAGCAAACCGTACAATGAAGTGTTATATTTGAATCTCAATCGAATTATTATAATCATTCCGTGGTCCTCTTCGAATCACACTATGCTCGTAAGTATGTACATGTATGTATGTAACATGTCTGTATGTAATTTGGACGTGCCAACCAATGGTGGGATATGTGAAACGGAAGGTGCAGGATCAGGATGGGATTACAATTATTTGAATAACACTTTGGTGGTATTAGGATCAAGCTGTCCACTATTCGATGAATGTTCCATCTCAATGGCATCAAATAGCAATATTCAGTATGAATATGTAAAATAATCGCAAAAACCCAATATTAGCCCGTGAAATAATGAATCGTTACAATTGTAATGACTCCAAACTCTTTTATTTAGCCTTTAACGCGGTTTCAGACCCCAGGCGTCACGATATAGCAACGACGACGACGAGACAGCAACCAGCCAACACAGCCCCAAACCTCGTTCCTCCCCCTCTCTCATTCTCGGCGTGAACCTCCGTCCACACTTGGTCTCGCCTTCCCTTCTCGAACTCTCTCTATCTTGTTGTCACCACTTGTCCCTTAGTTGACGCATTGTCTTTACATCACCCACCTCTATGACCTCTACCTGACCCCGCCATGGGCGGAGCAACTTGGGGGACATTCCCGGTGGCACCTGTAGGCAATACAACCATGCCCTGTCCCCCACTGCCCATGGAAGCACGTGTTCCCGCCGGCCCGTGTTCTTTTCATTAGCGGATTGCGCTCTGGTGGGGAAAGGTCCTCGTTATGAATCGTTTTGCAACGTTCAGGTCCAGAATACCGAAGTATACCGGGAATCACCTGTACTTAAGAACATGCAAATTGATAACACTATAAACAATAACACTAAACATTAAACGACAAAAAATATATCAACTGGTTTTATAATTTATAGCACCATAAACGGAGGTACGGTATTTAAATCTCATTATAAGTATTAAAATCGCACTCTACACATATGTATGTAAATTATCTGTTCAATCGAACCGGGGGTCGGATATGTGAACTGTGGGGGGTACAGGGCAAGAATCGCATTCAAATTTTAGAATAACAAAATGGTCGTATTGGCATTTTAATGGGCTTGAATGTATGTTATGTGCAAATGCAAATCGTTAGTCGTAAAGGCGAGGGAGGGGTTAAGAGGTGCACGTTTAATCCAGTGTTAACATTTATTTTAGTTTTTGATCAAAGGCGTTATCCCATCACGGGACACCAACATGCTGCGTATATAACAGTTACAGAAGCAACTAAAGCAGCGACTTCTGCTTCTGCTCCAATTGCTGCCCGGCTGTTTGTAGCCGGCTCTGCTCTCGTGGGACCCTGTGATTCTAATGCTTCTAATGAGATTATAATACCTTACCTCCGTTTACATGGTTATATATTTAAACTCTACTTTATATTCGTTTAATGTTTAGTATTATCGTTAATAGTGTTACAGTTTACATGTTATAGAGTATAGTTTATCCATGGTATGTTTCGGGATTAGGGACTGGTACGTTTAGAAACGATTAGCAACGGGGACCTATCCCCTCAAGGAACATGATAATGGCGGATGCTGCCGATAAAGGGCAGACTTGTGTGACGGAGATCCTCCACCTGAAACTCGCTTAAAACACGTTTTTGCAATGAACATTGTAAAATAAAAAATGGACAAACATATGTTAAAAATACGTTTTTATTCATCTGCAATCATTTTTACGTTAAAACTCGAACCGAATGTTTATGTCCTATGTTCAAACAGTTACAGTACAATGCAAACCATATCCGTTCCAGGAATACCAAAGCGTTAAAGTTTCATTCCCCATGATGTCCTTATTAGTTCACCACGTTTGTTCACTGTGCGTCTTGTTGAAGTCAAGGCCAAATATCCAACGAACGCGTCATCAATGTACATCCTAAAGTCGATTATTACCAACCAAAAAAAGCTTTATACTTGAAAATAAACCCGTTTAAAATGTTGAGTAAAGATCTAACTCGAGATGCATTCCAACTTTAGCTAAACAGAAAGACTTAAACACTACAATATTAACGGGAATTGAACCATCTCACAACCACTGCTCATCACACCACTTCATCAAGTAATCTGATAACATCACAAATCAACACCTGCACGTCAAGAAACTCTCAAACGAACTGTAAAACTAAAGGTTCAGAATTACACACAAAAGTACTCAAGGCGGCTTAATAGGTATAACCGCATGCAACATTATATTTCAGTCACCACTAGCTCTCGGATTGATCCTCGAGCCACTCCATTACATCCAGCCATCTCTCGGGATCCAACTGCATGGGATCGAAGGTGGAAACTTCTTCAGGACTCATTGCAGCACCTTGAATTTCAGCTTTTGATTTCAGTTTCCATTCATTGTGGACCTTCTGATGCCTGTTCATGGATGATGACTGTGAAAATGCCTTCCCACACACAGGGCACAGGAATGGCTTCTCGCCCGTGTGTGTTCTCTGATGAGTTTGAAGAGTTGATGAGTCTGCAAATGCCTTCCCACACACATGGCACAGGAATGGCTTCTCGCCCGTATGTGTTCTCTGATGACTCTGAAGATGTGATGACTGTGCAAATGTCTTCCCACACACAGAGCATATGAATGGCTTCTCGCCCGTGTGTGTTCTCTGGTGTCTCTGAAGATGTGATGGCCATGAAAAGGACTTCCCACACACAGAGCAATTTAATGGCTTCTTGCCTCCGTGTACGTGGGGCTGTGGAGAGCGTCTCTGCTCCATGTGAGCGTAGTAACAGCAGCGGTGTAATCGAGTCAAAAGTACGCTATCTGCCGCAAGGATGTTTAGCGTTGAGTTTTTGATTTTGTTAACTGCTAAAACAAGAACGACACTCGCATCTAACCGAGACGCAAAAAAATCCCGTAAATTTGACGAACACGTTTAAGAGTTTATCCGCGAAAATAGACATTTACTTGGAGATTCACGGTATATCGATGTCTGGAACCCGTCTGAAGATGTCGCCACGAACTCTCCCGACGCAAAGTCGCCTAACTGTCGACACAGCAATTGTGCTCGCCAGGCTGCGTTGTCTCGCGGTTGAAGGGCGATCAGCAGAGCGACGAGTCGAGCGTCCAACCTCATCAAGTTCCCTCTCGAAATGGCATTGAGCTCTGCTTCTGAGCCGCCTTATAACTCCCCCCCTAGGATCCAATCCTTTGTCTTTCAGGATATTTGCATTCGATTGTTAATTTTGGAAGGTACAATCCGCATGTCTATTAACATACCGAAGGGTAATGTGCCCATTGTGCTTCATGCATGAATATGTAAGTGCATCTCAGTGTGTAATTGTGCGCTTATTTTGAATAAATGGAAAAACTTTGTCCTCGATTTAAAGTGAATGCAGAGAAATTAGCATGTAACTTTAGAAAAGGAAGAGAGCGGCCTTCTCGACGAGGGAGTGAAACCCAATAGGTAATATTATTTTACAGCGTTACAATGGATAGGTTGTAGTTCATAGGTTATAATATTATGTTTCACTATGATAGAGCTTAACATGTGAGAGTCTACAATATCAGAGTTGATAAAATGCGACGATCAAGGGCGTCAATCGGGTGAGTTTGAACAGAGGCTTTAATCAAAGGCGTCATCCCATCACGGAACACCACCTCCCTGCGTTTATTACAGCAACAGAAGCAACTACAGCAGCAACAACAGCAGCAACATCACATTTCGAGGGCAACGCGGCTACTTCCGATTCTGCTGCCCAGCTGTTTGAAGTCGGGACCTGCTCTCGCAGGACCCCACACGTCTTTGGAAATGATTGCGATGATCATGTCTGAGCTGAGAATTAAGTCACTCAAGATTACTTTTTTAACCATAACTTTAGGTAGGTTAGTGTCATCGGGGCTCTGTGAATACTACTCATGAATGAAATCACACTCCTGTATGACCTACATTGTACTAATTTTGGTTGATCGAGTAGAACAAGGCACATAACATGTCCAGACGAATTCTTGTCAACAACAGTGTCCTTAAATATGATGCTAAAATAAATGTTAACACTGGATTAAACGTGCACCTCTTAACTCCTCCCTCGCATTTACGACTAACAATTTGCATTTGCACATAACATACATTCAAGTACAGTAATTTGCTAAAACGACCAAATTGTCATTCTAAAATTTGAATGCCATTCTTACCCTCGACCCCCACAGTTCACATATCCGACCGTCGGTTCGATTGAACGGACAATTAACAAACATGTGTAGAGTTCCATTATAATACTTCTAATGAAATTAAAATACCGTACCTCCGTTTATGGTGGTATAAATGATAAAACCAGTTGGTA